TCAAAGTCGTTCGCTTGGTTTTCTGTTCTGGTGTGGTAGGACCGCGACTTGTGAGCAAGTCTAATGTAGTGCGAGAATTAATATTAGCAGTATTTTGGTTCCACTTTAAGTCTGAAATGTATATGCTGCACAATTTTTATTGTGACTTATCTTAAGAGTAGCTTTTACAGATGAAAATCGATGTGTAATTTATCAAACACTTTCATCTGGCTATTCTGTAACTTGATTGCCTTTCAAAGCAAAAGGTTGTTTAAGACAACAAACACATTGTTTTTTCAGTCGTGTTTCTCTTACCAACTCTGAAAACAGAACTGAAAAAACTGCATGTGCCCTGTTTTGATTTGATTAATTCAAAAACACATTGCTATGTTTAGTTCAGTATAATCTAGCGTAAAACCTTTCTTGGTGTTTTTGTATTTCCATTTTCTTGTTACTGTCGGTGAGACATGTAGTAATTAATTTCCAGTGAAGTAAAATCACCACTTTTTTTCAGCCTTAAAGGTCATTTTGAAGTTTTTCTTTTTACAGGCGGCCGATGTTCAAAGTGAAGCTTCAGGTACTCGTGTTTTTTTTCATTTTTTATTTTCGCCGAACATTTATTACTCTTTGCCTTTTTTTCCTTTGTAAACGTTTAACATTTTAAGTTGGTTTTCATCGCTGAATTTCTTAATGAAAATACTCTTAAAATCGTACATAGGTCGTGACAGAGAGAGAGTAGCAAAAAAATAATAATAAACGAAAGAAATTAGTAAAGGAAGGAATAAAGCAAAAGCAACACGGGATGAAAGAGAAGAAAACTTGTTATCAGTTGCAAAAAATATATTTGAAACAGGAAATATTTGCGTTTCTGAGCTCGCAATTGAAACACAACATGTACATTGAGACATGTTCATGTCGACTTTGCAACCTGCATGGCCAGTCTAGTGTAACCTGCAAGTTCTTCTTTTTTCCTAAGTACCGGGTTTTCAAGGCAAAACATCATGCAAGTAAAAACGATTTTGAGGAATTGACCGTCGATATGTTTCGCTCTTTTCCATAGGAGGTTGTCGTCTATCTTCGTATGTCTCATTTTTTTTTGTTCATCGAAAGTGATGTCCCAATCTCTTTCTCACTTTCTCTCTTGTCCTCCTTTTTCAAACTTTACTTTGTCACAATGATCTTTTACTAGAAAGCACAGTCAAATAAAGGGAAGTTTATTTTTCCGTTTTTTATATGAATATATAACTACCAGGACCTGTTTTCTAGATAAGTACGGTCTAATGTATTTACCGACCAACCTTTATAATATTAACCGTTTGACGTCCATTGTAACCAAACCATTTATTGAATTATGGTTGAATTTTGACTTTGTCTAAGGCGCGGTTGTGCAATTTGCATTTCCACTAGACAGTGTTTTATTCATTTAATTTTCTTGTTAAAACAGAACTGGTGGTTTCAGCGAGATACAAAAGCAAATATTGCGAGTTCTAATTTTGGTTCTCGCCCTCTCGAGCAACAAGTTGTTTTTAACAAGAATGATTTTTAACCAACGTGCTTTCCGAGAAGAAATTCAGCAAATTCGTTTTAAATGTTGTTTTCATAAAATTCCTGTAATTCCTGTTTCTAACCAAGATTAATTTTTGGTTTAACTTAGCATTGGCTCTTTACAGCAGAATTACGTCCTGAGTTCATTATCAAATGTTTTTAGTTTGATTTGTTAAGATGTACATATGATATATTTGTTATCACCTGTACGAACGAACCACTTGACAACTCATTTGCGTTATTGACGTAACAAACACTCTTTGGCGAATTAATTATTCATTGTATATACTGGCCGAATTAGCTGTATAAATGTGTAGCCACCACGACGCACAATTCTTTATTCGGAGTTTTATTAAACCAGACATGTCAAAGCGTCGAGTTAACTTCCATCGCTACTTGAGAGTGACTGGCTCAGTTGTGTCATAAGCGTGGTACGTGCCGCAGTTCCTTTAAAGGCGTCGAGAAAATTGATGCCAAATTTTTTACTCATTATGCTTTGCAGGTGAAAATGTTATTGTGGGAAGTCTTTATTTTCTCCAGGCGCGTGTGGAAAGTGTTTTTTTGTTTCAGTCTTTTTGTGTAAATTTCGCCAGAGCGTGGTGAAATCTGTTGTTTTTTTTTGCGGTCGTTAGAACCCACTTAATGTTACAACTGCGCGAATTTTTGATACGCAAAGGGCAGGCTTGTGCAGAATATTCTTCACAGCGAGAGTGACTAATTTGCTATTCGAGGTTTGCTGTTGAAGGTTTCAATAACAATTTTGCAGCGGACTTAGGTATAGTTCAATGTCGATAAATTTTAACTGAGGTAGAACCTTGGTCAAGATTATGGTGCTGTGCCATGAGAACAGGTTGAAATTGAATGCAAGGCTGTTTACTCGATTTACGTAACTCTCTGCTGAACATAACGCAAAAAATTACTTAGCAGTGTAAATTAGTAAAATTGTTTGTTTGTTTTTTTTTCTTTCAGGAGACGCGTTGCAACGGGACGAAAATACTTCCGAGTAAGTACAGCTTTCTGTTCGAGTTTTTATCCCCAGCGTTAAAAAAATATTCATTTATTCCTCCTCGTTTTTTACAGTCCAAGCGCTATGAAAACGAACTTGTTGCGTCTCTCAAATATTTATTTTTCAAACAAGTCGATCAGCTAAACAAACGCCTGGCTAATGGCATTTTTACATTTTAACTTTTCAGTTAAAATAATCCGGCTGCAAACGCTCCGCAGTGTTTACGATATTCTGTTGTCAACATACTTTGCATTTATCAGACTTTAGCCTGGTTACACTTTACATTTAGCAGATCCCGCATTTATCAGATACTAACTTTATCAGCCATTGTTACATTTGTTCTGTTATTAGTTTGTTACACTTTCTAATTAAGGTTTTGTTTTAATCGGGGTTTTCTTGAATATCCTGTATTTCTTGACGCCACTGCGGTTTGTTTCGTCAGGTTTGCGGGACAAAAGTGCAAGTCGATCAGATCGAGCTTGAAACCTGCTTTCGAAAGAAATGTTAATTTTTGTCTCGAAGAGAAACACTTGTGCAACCAGCTACGCTGAGAATGGAGACACTTGTTTTGAAACATCAACTCTCAGTGCAAAACATTTTTCGCATGCCAATTTGCAACTGTTCGCTTCAGCTTTGATTTTAGTCTTTGCACGAAAGCTCCGTATTCTTCCATTGAATTATTTAACCGCATGATCAACACGTCTACCCATTGAACCAAATGCCTTTTTTTCTTCGAATTTAACAGTGACCTTTCGAAAACTGCCAGATTATAATTTTAAGTATTTAATTTTCTCGAAAAATAATGACTTTAAACCAACTTTTATTTGGGGGCGCTGATATTATGACGAATCTGAAAATCTTGTTCAACGAAATCAAATTTGAGAAAATTATTGGTAAAGTTCACAAATATGTTGAAAGAAGATAGCACGAACTTCGCTCGTTTTCTCTTGGCCAAAACAAAACCAACGGTGTGTTTATGAGGGCAGTTTTGAAACTCACTCTATTTGATGGAGAGAGAGCCCATGTTTCTAAGGCTCGCCACTGATTGGAACAATTCACAATTTATGCTCGCCTTAGCTTCAGTTCTGGGATATCCCGTTCGTTCAAATTAGTCCTGCTCAATAGGGATTGTGTTAGTTCAAACCTAGTTAACACATTTTTCTCAATAAACTTCAAGTTTAATTAATAGACCTGTTGAAAGATACAATATTTAAAACGTATGATTCCGTTTGCTTTGCGTTTTCAATTGCAAGTGTATGAATATTCATGTGAAAAGTCATCATAACAAAAATGCTAAATGTAAAGTGTTACCTTAAAACTGTTTGCAGTAAAACCTTCATAAAGTTAAGAAATGGTAAAATTGAATTGTTTTACCCCTTTTTCAGTTAAAAAAAGCCCCTTTTTCTCGGCAAGAACTCAAACGTACGTCTTTTGAATTAGCAATTCCTTTCTTCTTGTCTCCAACTTTTTCATCCTAAAGTAACCATAAACAACGGAAATTTGCCATGTTCACTGAAAAACAATAAATTAAATGCGTAAAATAAAAGCAGTATTCGATTCACTTATGGCTTCGAGTGCTCCTTTAAAGATGATTTTGACTTAAAGCAAATGGTTTACTGTAAGTTAAATCATTTAACCCAGGTTTCAAAGAACTCACGGTACGATCGGTGACAACGCTATGAGTCGAAGACGTCATTTAAGGTAAAGAATAAAAATGTGCATGTCTTTTAAACATTGATGTAACCTCTTGCTTGTTAGTGACTTTCGTCGTCTTTGTTGTCCGGGGGAACATTCGACGTTTTCATCAATCTTCGTCAAAGCTTATCCAAAGAAGTTGCCTCCCGGTTAGCTCAATTGGTTGAGCGCCGGATTGTTGTGCGGGAGGTCGAGGGTTCAAGCCCCGGCCGGACCAACACTCAAGGTCTTAAAATAACTGAGGAGAATGTGCTACCTTTCTATAACATCAAGAAATAGATAGACATTTTAGTCTTCTCGGTCAAGGACGAACAAACCGTAGGTCCCGTCTCCTACATCTATTAATTAGTTAATTTGGTTAGGAGACGTTAAAGAACCCACTCACGCGATTACTGTGATGTGGTCTGACCTGCTTACTAGGAATTGGGGAGGAGAAGGCATCTGTTAGATTCGTCTTTAATTGATTGTAAACTGCTTAGCAGTCTGGTAAAGTCCCCCGTTCAGTGTTGTTAAGCGCCACGAACTCAGGATATGAGCGCTGTATAAATAAAAGTTATTAAAGTTATTAGAATGAGATTGATACACTTCAACAGTAACCACTCCCTGGGGGAAAC